GCTGTATCCCATAAGTTTTGGTATGTTGTATTTCCATTTTCATTTGTCTCAAGATATTTCTTGATTTCTCTTTTGATTTCTTCATTGATCCATTGGTTACTGAGTAGTATGTTGTTTCATTTCCGTATATTTGAGAATTTTCCAGTTTTCTTCTTGCGATTTCTGGCTTCATACAATTGTGTTCAGAAAAACGTTTGTATAGTTTTAATCTTCTTAAATTTATTTAGATTTGTGTGTGTGTGTGTGTGTGTGTGTGTGTGTGTGTGTGTGTCTTAATAATTATCTGTTCCCTGTGTACTGAGAAAATATATACTTCTGACTTGGGATAGAATGTTCTCTTAATATTTTAAGTTTATCTGGCCTAATGTGTGCAGCCTATGTTTCCTTATAGGTTTTCTGTGTGGATAATTTATCCATTGATGTAAGTGGCTGCATTAATGTTTACAATTGTCATAGCCTCTTGTTGGATTGATTCCTTTATCATTATGTAATGCCTTTCTTTGTCTCTTATTACAGCCTTTGTTTTAAAGCCTGCTTTGCATGATATACGTATAACCATCCCAGGATTCTTTCGGTTTGCATTTGACCAGAAAATACTTTTTCATCCCTTCGCTCTCAGTTGTGTATGTCCTTATTTCTGAAGTGAGTTTCAGTTCTTATATCTGAAGTGGGTCTTATTTTTTCAGCCACTTCATGCCTATTAATTGGAGAATTTAGTCCAATTACATTTAAAGTAATTATTAATTGGTATGTAGTTATTGATATTTTGTTGTTTTCTGGCTATTTTGTAATTCCTCTGTTCCTTTCTTCCTCTCCGGCTTTCTTCTTTATGGTTTCATGATTTTCTTTTCTAAAGTTATCTCATTATCATAATGAGATTAACTTTCTCATTATCTTTTGTGTATTTACTATAGGTAATTATCATGTGGCTTTGTGATTACCATGAGGCTTACATAAAACAACCCATATTTATGTCTGTTTTAACAACTTAAGTTTATTTGTGGGGGCGGTTTTGGTGAGGTTTATTAAAATTCTAATTCATACCTTTTCTGACCATATTGCTCTCCAAGGCTTCAAACTATAGCTTTCTAAGTCTTCTCCTGTATGTCCAAAATGGCCCCTTTTCATGATAATAAACTTGAATCCTTGTCTCCTTAGTACCATGAATCTACCAACCCCCGCCCCCGCCAAAAAAATGAAAATCTCAATTGTCCCATTAAAGAATTACTGCTAAGCTATTGCTCAAGGTAGCATCGATATTTAGCAAGTATAAGAGGAAAACCAGGTATGTAGTGAGTTTTTTGCCCCTTTCTTCTTCAAGAGATCTTAGTTCTTTCTTTAAGTCTCCAATTTTGCCTCCTTAGCTACACAAGGGTACAAAAGCTCTGCTGATTTTTCTGTCTGCAAAAAGCCTCTTTCAGCCTAATCAAAGACCAGCTTATTTTCAACTTTTTACCATGTATAGAGAATTTCTAAATGCTCCCCCCGCCCCCCCCAAAAAACAGACATAAAATGTTAATTCACATACCTAATGTTCCTACTTCCTTAGAATCGTGCTACCTTATTCTTGTTTATTTAAGCAGGAATCATTCTTCTTCAAGATACTTCATTTTATCATGACTTTATTTATTCATGTATATTTCAGTAGTGACTATGGGACATGCAGACTCTACACTGGCAGAGTTATATTCTAGTAAAAGTAATTAGACCATTAAAATATATTTTAATCAATATGTAAGTTGTCGGGTGATGATAAGCTCTATGAAGTAAGAAGATAAAGAGTATGAAACAGTGATGATGCCACTTTATATGGCATGTTCAGAGAAGTTTTGTCTGGTAAGGAGACATTTGATGGTGACCTACATAAAGTTAAGAGAGTAATCCACATGTAAGTCTGAGGCCAATGAGACCATGTTGCTGACAGAGTGAATAATAAGTACAAAGCTCTAAGGTGTTTAATGCCTGGTGATTTTGAGAAACAAGTATAGTTGCAGCTGAGCGAGGTGAGGAGTGGTAAGGGATGACAGAAGTAGCAATTGGTATGTTGGAACCTATCACTTCAAGGATTGTATTTATAAAGATATTCTTTTTTAATAAATGGAAACAGGAAGCTATTTGGGGTATTGTTAGGAGAGGCATGAGTCTATTGTCATCATTCAGGTGAGAGATGATGGTGGCCTGAGAAATCTAACACAGGGTTTAAAAGTGTAGATTCTTGAGTGACTGGTTTCAAGTGCCAACTCTCTGAATCATTCGCTGAACAATTCTGTTGAGTTTTTCTGTACCTGTGACCTAGAAATGGTAGAACTGTAAGGACTGTACCTGAGTCCTAGCAATGGTAGGAAAGAGTAGCATGGAAAGGATTAGAACCAGTAAAGAGCTCTAAGATATGGCATATTTGTGATGACAGTTGGATCCTCAAGTGCAAATGTAAATTACACAGCCTGGAGCTCAATAGTTAGGTCCAGACCGAAGTTATATATATATATGGGATAGTTAGAAGATGTACTATATTGTAAACTGTGAGATTAGTTGAGTTCCTCTAGAAGTTAGGCTATGTAAAGATGAATATCCAGTAGGAGACCTGAGAAAACTGACTGAGAAAGGAGGAAAACCATTAAGTCCTGGACACCAATTCTAGAACGTATTCCCTAAAAGAGGGGTGACCAACTGTATGAAATGCTATCAATGGAGACAGGTCAAGTATGATGACTGAAATCTGATCATTTGAGTTGGCAATGAGGTTTGCAGGAACAGTTATTGTAGAATAGTGGGAAACAAAAGGCTGAATGAAGAGGGGTCAAAGAGAGAATGGTAGGGGGATAAAAAAAACAGAAGGCGGAAAGTAGACAAATTTTACTGAGTTTTGCTGCAAACGGGAAACAAAAGAGGCAATAGCTGCAGGGGAAGAAAAGATCCCTTCCAATGAGATACAAATGCTACTTTTATGTGATGAAGGTTACTATAGATCCAGTTTCTGGATGCAAGATCATGACTAGGCTCATCTGGGTTGATTGAAATGACTTCTGGTCTCTCCCTTGTCTGCTGAATGCTCAGCTATTCAACTGAAGGCCTGAGTTATTCTTTGAAAGGATGAACAATATTCTCTGTCAGGTGTTGTGAAAGATCAGCATTTTCAATCTGCTGAAATGGTGGTTCTTGATGTCAAAGAATTATAATCTTTACCAGAAGCACAAAATTATCATTTTGTTGGGCCACAATTTTGAATCGTTTCTGCTGTATTATTTCAGAGTTTCAAGTTATTCAGTTAGCTGACTTCTAAGTAATTACATCTCAACATGGCTTCATTAATCATAACTAACTCTTTCATTAATCATAACTCTGATGTAATGCTTATAAAGGAATTAAGACTTGGGGCAACAAGAGTGCAAGGACTAATACTTAAAATACCAAGAGTATTCTGCTCATCTGATATCTATATTAACAGATGAACATAAAAGTGTGGTGTATTATTTCCCTAGGGCTGCCAAAACAAAATTCCATAGACTGGGTGACTTAAACAATAGAAATTTTCTTACAGTTATGGAGGCTATAAGTCCAAGATCAAGGTGTTGGCAGGTTTGGTTTCATCTGAAGCTTCTCTCCTTGGCTTATAGAGAGCTACCTTCTTGCTGTATCCTTACATGGCCTTTCCCCTGTATACACACATTTCTGTTTCTTTGTGTCCAAATTTATTCTTATGAAGACACCAGATTTGATTAGGTCCTGCCCTAATAACCTCATTTTAATTTAATAATCTCTTTAAAGGCCCCATCTCCAAATACTCATTTTGAGGTACTGGGTCTTAGGGCTTAAATATATGGATTTTGGGGCAGGGGGGAATATAATTCATTCCATAATCTGTGGTAACCTGTTCTATTAGTACAAAACATATTTTTAAAGGGATGAGGAAAGAAACTGTTAGAAGCAACTTGAAAATCAGTAGTAAGAAGTGTTCAGTTAGACCAAATGAGAGCTAGAAAAACTAATATATTAATAACTTTTACTAAACCTCTGTGAGACAGATATATGAATATACACACAGAGACATTAGTCATCACAAAATGCCTAAAAAATAGGTGTTAGCCCACGTTTTGGATGATGACATTTAGATACTAAACTTTAATTCAATAATTCACAAAAGTAAACCTGTAGAGATATCTGAATTATTAAAAACTATACATTCTACAAATAGTAACAAAGAAGATGGGTATATACAGTATAATTTAGAACATTTTCAATAAAAAAATTGTTAATTATGGAACATAAACCAGATGAATTTGAGTTACCTGTAAGAGTCATTTCTGTGCTCTGTATTTCCAGATGATTAGAGATAACCATGATGATTGTACACATGACAGAAAACTGTTCACATTACAAACTTAATTTTGTCTTTTGGCGTGTAAATGGTAATAGGAAAAGTCTTGGTTTTGATGAAATAGTGAAAGTTATAATCTTCTCCCCAGAGTGATTATCAAAAGTATAAGAAAACATGCAATTATTTGGATACTATAATCTGTCAAAATAAATTTGTTGCATTTTCAAAAATATTTCCTGTTACAATATAGTTTGTGTGATTTAGAATTAAAAATTCTCATATAAACAATATAAACTGGCAGCTAATATAGTTATATATACAGGTCGTATTTTTGCTTCAACAACTTTTGCTTAGTTTTGAAATCCCAGTGCCACTTTGATAAATAATCAGGTAATGATTTGTTTAGAAGTCAGATATTTAAAAGCCATGTCTAGTAATTAACTTTAAGGCTATAGCAATGAAAGTTAGAGTACCATCAATCTGTTTATGCCATGTCTGCATATGTTCATCATTTAAAAATAGAATAATATTCATATTGATGTATTTGAAAAAATATCAGAGGCAGTTTGAAGTGTATATTCAAATTTTTAAAAAGGGAAAAGAAAAATCTATTTGATGTATTTCATAATAACCTTCAACTTCTGAAAATAATAGCGAGTCACATTCAGGTGAACTTGTAAAACAATTTTAATTTTTACTCAAAATATGAGATGTTATCATTAGCCCTTACATTTGAAAAATGGAGACAATTATATAGGAAAGGAAGAGAAACAAAAGCTATTAGATTTTAAGCTCAAGTTTCAAAAATATCCAGATAATACAAAAAAGCTCCAGATACTTTCCCATTGTCCAACACTGTCAAAATATTGATTTTCATACATTTTCTTCATAACATATTATCATTTATTAGGAATAGTTTTAGATTTTTTTCCTAAATACCATGAAGGCTCCCCAGTAGTACCACTATTTTATAAACTGACCTGCAGTTGGTTTATTTTTAATCCAATCTATTTGGATTGAAAGAATAAATATCACATACCCAGGGGACACACTTTTATCTGCACCAAATATATTACAATGAAGAAATTCATAGCATTTAACAGCATATTACTGTAATATGATTGGATTGACCAAAGTATGCATCTTTGTATACAAATTCTAATAAGACACCTGAAAAGTAGAGGAGAAAAAAAAGAAATTACAGGAATAAAGTTTAGCTACATAAACTAATTTTTAGATCAAAACTCACCAGATGTGATAAAATTCTAAAGAAACTGCTGAAAAGTACTGTTCCAAACATGAACTATAATTAGTATTATCTGTCTTAGGAAAATCTCCAGCACAGTAGCTGATCTTCTGTGGAAGTAAAGATACAGGGCTTTGTCATTATTCATTAGGCACAGGAAGGAGGCTACTACTTCATTAAGGAAAAAATCTAGATGTGAACTGGTAGCCCCCCATAAGTGTAGTAGAGTTAAACCATCTCCCACCGTAAAATGGCCATATGTTGTATACTTTTAGTTTATTCTGACACTGCAAAGAAGCAAATTACAACCTTACTTAAAATAACAAGAAATGAACAAAGTGAAGCAATAAAAAAAAAAAAAAAAAAAAGTAAAACAATAACAAAAAGAAATCAACAATAACAAAACCCTGGGATGATGAATTTTGTTCGTACCAAAACAATAGTAAGAAACTCATAATTTCTTATACACGGCAACAGTGCAAATAGCATATAGGTCATGTGTACACAATCTCTTCAATGCAGTGCAAGTTTCTTAACAGCCACCTACAAAGAACTGAAGTGTAGTGAATGTATACAGTGGCTGGTTCACTAACACTATAAATAAGAATGGCCAGTGCCATTTTGTTTGCTGGCTGAACATTACTCTTGGGCAATACTTAGTTACTAGAGTTTTTTCTTAACAAGCAGTTTCTCATTAACAAGTTCTCGTCAATAGTGAACTAGAATAAATTTTTACTGACCTCCTTGGTTTTTAGGACATTTGTTAATTCTCTGCCTCTTTTTAAAACCCCAGTGTTGTTTAATAGGCAGCCACTAAAATAAATCCTTCCCCTTCCAACTTCCCTTTTTTCCCCCTAAGATGGACCCTCTGTAAACCTAAAAACATATAGTAACTTAATATACAAGGTTTCTCAAAGTGCAAAATGTGTTACATATAGTTTCATAAGCTTCATTTAAACAGCATTTTATACAATACAGTACAGTTTAAGATTCCCGTTCATAAGTTATACCACTTAACAGACAACCACTTTAAAGTTTAGCCACTAAAAGTAACTCAACGCCTTTTTACACAAGGTTAATATAGTTGAACTGTACAAGCTTTGTTCAGACCAAAATAGTTAATCTTACATTTATCACATATACACATATATTTTTAAAAGCTCTTTAAATGTTTACATATAGCAAGACGAACCATGAATTTTCTTATAGTTTGGTTTCTGATTTGCACACAAACACTGTACACAATATAAAAAAAAAAAATTACAAGACAATTCATTTTATGTCTTTCTGCAAACTCTGCTCACCCGGTGACTCTTTCGGGAGGGTTCTTGACCGCTGTAGAACCATGCTAAGCTCTTCAATGACCTTTGATGGCAACTTATTATCAGGGTCCAAAGCAGCTTTGCCATTGATATCCTCAGTCTTCTTCAATGTCTTTAGGCCTTTATGGCCTTTTTGCTGCCCGCAAAGGACCTCAGCCTCTGTGTCCTCCAGACAGTTGAAACTCCTATGTTTTCTGGTTCGATTTCGAAGTTTATCATCCCTGTGCTCCAGGCAATGGGCCACAATGGAGGCTCTTTCCTTTAACGTGCTGTCCCCAGACTCTTGATTACGCTTTTCACTGAGCCGCAGCTTTTCGAGTTCCACCTTTGCACTCTAAAATACAATAAAATGTCTCACAGGAAAGCAAAATTTGGCCTAATTTAAGTTTAAAAAAATACATTCCATATGAAATCTGATGTTTCTTATATTAGAGTTTATTTCTATGATTTAGATTCTAACTTTACTTTAACACAAATGGCGTGTCCGAATTTATATACTGATCTTAGAGCTACAAAATCAACTAAAATGTAGACCATGGAAATTCAATTCAACATGCACTTAACACAGCACTTCAAAGATGTCTTTCAGGTTATTTAAATTGACTCGTTTCAAACTTGCCTCTTTTAATTCATTTCTGCATGGATGTGTCACATGTTTGTGCATCTGCAATTCCTACAGTGCTGTAATCATGGCACCAAGAAAAAAGGTAGTCATGTGAGTCAGGGAAATGCTCTGTACTACAGCCCCCTTTCTGAGATTTACAATACATGCTAGCATATTAAAGATGCCACGAAGTATTATGGCAGAGAAATCTGTTTAACTTTTCTTTCTTTTCCTCTTCCAAAAATATTTAGTGAAATCTTTCCTCTCACATAATATCTATTAGAATTCCATAGATATATTTTTGAAAACACTAAAATGTTTATACACACACACACACACACACACACACACTTTTGTATCAGTGGATTAGAGTACACATTCATTAAGTAAACTATAAGGGCTTACATGTACTATAACTCCATTGTGACAACACCAGCAAGGGTACATAGGTACTTAATTTTTTCTCTCAATTAGAAATGACATAATATGTTAGTTTAAAGGTGTACAACATAATGACTAGACATTTATGTACCTTAGGAAATGATTACCCTGTTCAGTCTAGTAGCCATTTCACACCATACATAGTTATTAGAATATTATTGACTATATTTCCTATGCCATACTTTACATCTCTTACTATTTTTATAACTGGCGGTTTATACTTGTTAATCCCTTGACCTTTTTCACCCAACCCCCCTCCCATCTGGCAACCATCCATTTGTTCTTTGTATTTATGAGTTTGTTTTGTTTGTTCATTTATTTTGTTTTTTAGATTTTATATATAAGTGAAATCATGGCATTTGTCTTTCTCTGACTTATTTCACTTAGAATGCCCTCTATGTCCATCTATGTTGTTCCAGATGATAAGATTTCAGTTTTTATGGCTGAGTAATATCCCACTGTATATATATACCACATCTTCTTTATCCTTTCATCTGTTGATGGACAGACACTTAGGTTGCTTCACTATCTTGGATATTGTAAATGATGTTACAGTGAACATAGGGGTGTTTCTATCTTTTCAAATTAGTGTTCTAGATTTATTTGAATAAATACCCAAAATGGAATTGCTAAGTCATATGATAGCTCTACTTTTAATTTTTTTGAGGAACCTCTGTATTGTTTCCTATAGTGGCTACACCAATTTACAATCCCACCAACAGTGCATGAGGGTTCCCTTTTCTCCACACTCTCATAAACACTTAATAGCAGGTGATAGATAGATAGATAGATTCTAACAGGTGATAGATAGCTTATGATTTTAATTTGTTTCCTTGATTATTAGTGATGTTGAGCATCTTTTCATATGTCTACTGGCCATCTGTATGTTCTCTTTGTAGAAATGTCTATTTGGGTCTTCTCATTTTTTAATCAGATTTTTTTTTTTGGTGTTGTATGAGTTCCTTATATATTTTAGATAACCCCTTACTGGATGTATCACTGGCAAACATCTCCTATTCAATAGATTTTTTTTCATTTTGGTGGGTTTTTTTTTGCTGTGCAAAGCTTTGTAGTTTGATGTAGTCCCATTTATATTTTTCCCTTGCCTGAGAAGATATATCCAAAAAAATATTAATAAGGGTAATGTCAGAGTCTACTACCTACGTTTTCTTCTAGGAGTTTTATGATTCAGAGGAAAAATTTTCAATTTTTACCAGTTTTGTTTAAATACTTTTAAAACTTTCAACATTGTAATATTTTAAAACATTCTTTGCCAATATGCTGAATCAGCACTTCACGACATTTGGGTTTACAAAAAAAAGTCTTGGTTTAACTACTCATAAATTTTTCACTAATTAGTGTTTCATGGAATTATGTTAAGAGCTTTTAGCAATTTCTTCAGGGTTTGTTCATCAGCTTTCTAGTCTTAAGTATGCCAAAAAAATGTCTCTGAAATTCTGGATTTGGGATTAAGTAACAAACTATTACATATTCAATTATCCCAATTCTTTACTGGATACTAGTTAATGTATTTTGATCCTAATGACATTTTTTTGCTTTGCTCCATAACTGATCCTAAAGTAATGTCAGGAGAAGCAAGGGTTATAATAGGGCATATCTACTCCATATGTTTGCTTCATTTCTTCAACCTGTGTCTTCTAACTGGGTTCCTAGGAAATGTGACCCTTGGAATTTAAGATTCTAGATTAGCTAAAGAATCCATAGTTTTTTAGAGCAGCTTATTACCAAGAAAAACTATAAATGCATTAAGGCAGGAGGGACAAGCTCACGATTTCCTGGAGTCTTATCCTTCTCCGTGATTACATCAGAACAGAAGGACTGGGTAGGCCACAAAGGTAATTAGCCATTATTTTCAAAACTTTTATACAAGAGGAATATTACACTGGGATTAATGTTCAAGGAAAGATAGGCATGGAACAATATTTTTAAAAATCTGATCATTAAATTAAGATGGCTTTAGTCTTTCAAAAGATAAGCTATTTGAATTTCTTGTTTTCGAAACAGAAACAATTCCAAACCTAGCCTCTAAGAATATCTGTTACATGCTTTTCTTTTTGCTTTGAGGGACTCGATAAAGGCACTGAAACATGAATTAGTCCCAAAGTATCTAATGAGTTTTGAGTGTAAACAGCCAATGTCCTTTCCTGAAGAAAGTGAACTTCAAGATTAATGCCGCCTGAGTTCTCCATGCCCCTCAAGGTGAGAAGAAAAACAAATAGCAGCCAAAGACACATGCCCAATCTTCTCTATTGATGAACAGAGGTCATCTCACAGTTTCTTAAATTAAGTGGGACACTCCTTGGTTCTCAAACCACTGGAATTTGATTGTGTTACTAGAAAGTCTAGTTACCATGGCTCCAGACACATTCTGCCATGGGGTCCTTCTAAGGTTCTAAGAAGTTAATCTGTGAGACTGTGATTTTACCACTAGAATTTCCGACGTATTTAAAATTGCTTGGCTATTTTAGGGATAAGAAAATAAGTGGTATTGTGCGTATTTAATTAGGTGGTCAATGATGTTATTAAAACTAATCGTTTACGAGAAGTTCAAAAATTAAACTTCAAAAAGTGCCATAGGGTTATCCATATTTTCTTGATGTGACTTTTCTTATGCTTTTCAAAGTGATTATTCCAGTGCTTTTGAAGCCAATGAAGTGTTTTAATGCACTTAATCACAATAAGACATAAGAAAACAAATGCTATAATTAATATAAAAGAAATAAAATCCTAACCTACCTCGATATTTCTCCGGGCTTGGGTTGCATTTTTCTCCTGCTGGATGGGAATTAGAGGCAAACCTCCGATTTTGGGATTTTTGGTTATAGAACGTTTTCGTTCCTTTCCAGCTGGTGGCCGTATATCATTTTCATGCTGTGGAAACAGAATTGCTTGCCGTTGGTGTGTGATTTTATTATGTGGTGTACACCATATTATATGGTCACTTGACTCCTTTCCTATATATCCAAATAGAACGATCTGCTTTCCATGAGAATGTCATCTGTAATTATGATGCAACTCTGGTGGCAACATCGCTCAAAGAGGTAAAACTCTTAAGTGGACTGAGCTTTGAGGTCTCAGTTCAATTTCTAAGTTTCAAATACATGCCTTCTCTAACTACTTATCAAACCAAAAGGGGGGAAATATTTAAGAAAACTGGGAAATCTCTTTGTGAGAGAAAAATAACACACTTGTGTACATTTCTAGGCCTTATAATCAAAGTAACTATACATTCACATTTTCTCTACGATAGCTGAATTTAGTGTGAACATAATAATTTGACCTTATATACCCCAAGTCAATCTAAGGCATGTCTATCAGAAAAATTAGCCTTATTGTACGACCTTTTTCATCTAATTGAAGACCAAAAAAATATTACCTTGTACACAGAAATTTATACTGAAAATCATTGCATAATAGGGTGTGCACATTTGTTCTCAAATTATTGACTATATATTCTGGCTACTGTGCAATTATAGATATGACTGGGAAAAAGTTAATTTTGCAACTATAGAGAGAACTATCCATAGGAAAAAATATAAGCTCTTGAATCCTAAATCCTTGAGATATGCATATAAAAGTGAATCTACTCCTCAGGGTAGATTCATTTGTCAGAAGTTGGGAAAAGCAAACTGATTTTCAGACAACAATCTATTAAGAAATACAGAATACCAACTGTAAAACGAGCAGCTTACAGATGTTATAATGAGATGAAAAACACTTGGTAAACTATATAGCTAAATGCCTACTCTTATTTTCCACTACTCTTAAGATTCAACAGATTTTTGTTCTTATATTGCAGTTAGTATTTTAGTGTAGTATTTTATAGCACAGAATTCATTTCAACAAATGTTGACCTTATATAATAGCTAATTTACATTGAGTGGCATATGCTAGACTTTGTGCTTATCAATATACATATATTATCTCCTTTAATTCTCAATGATCTTACAGTATAGGTCCTATTATTACTAGATAGTATGTAAGATCTGCTCTTGAATTTTAGTGAAGAATTTACTTTGGTTCAACAAATCTACCACAGTATATTATGCAATATTTCAATCAGAGGGAAAGTTATAGGCTTCATAATATTATTTTTATGTCAAAGTCCCAAACTTGGTCAAAATTTTGATATTATATAATTAGGATGTTCCCAACATGTAAAGCTGAGAGAAAATTGGCTTGGAAGGAATTAGATAATCTTATGAATAATGCTTACACTTTTACTCAGATGTATCGTACAGGTACTAAATGATATTTTGAGGAACGAAAACAAATGCATTTTTCAAACACTATTTCTTTTTCTGGCATGATAAACAATGCTGGGTATACTGGCTAATTAGTTTTCACGATTGATC